GCGTTTCCAATTTATTTGCGATTAGCATACTGTTGCGTCTGCGTTGCGTCTGCGTTTGCGTGAAGCGCGTAATACGACGCAAACCATGACTTGCGCTTGCGAATAATGTTGATTCGCAAGCGCAACGCAAATCGCAACGCTAATTTAGCGCTGACCGGATAATGAGGGCTCAGATCTGAGCCAGCTCAAGTTGTTTCCGCGAATTCCGTAGTGATTAGGCTTAAGGAGTGTAACGACCCTCACTTTGCATGATAAGCGCAAAAGGTAGTGGTAGCGTTAAAGGGTTTATGAGTGAGTGGAAGAATCGTCACATTATTACTAATTATTACCGGGTCCATGTTGTGTTTGTATATGCTCTCAAGGGTTTCACAGACATGACTGGTTGAATGGCAAATGGCTGAGTATGTCGCACTGCGACATAAAACATACACCTAAATGACAAAACAGATGATTTAGTTTAAATATAAATAACATAATTATGGGTTTATTTACAATGTGATTTTAAAGTGAGTATAGTAATTATGACAATTACACACATAGTGTGGAAATATATATATATATGAAAAAAAAGTTCTGATATTGTAATACCTGAATGATATATAGTGCAGCGTTACTCAATGACAACGGGTACCCATATTCAAGGATAATGCACAAAGGTGGATCGTTATGCAATTAAGATCCTTGATATGTGGTTACGATAATATACATAGTATTTCCCATCAAGTTAAATACATACTTAAGTAAGATTACATAATTACAAAGAAGCTGATACTGCAATTACACATTATTCATAAATCCTACATTAACTTCACATATAACATACAATACTTTCATCTGGAAGAGTGTGTGACACAACTGGTGACCAAATAAACATACATGGCAATATGTATTACCATGACTTTGAAACAACCTATGACAATGAGAACAACAACTGGCACCCGGGAGTGTACGACATGTACCTAAGTACAACCACTGACAAAATGTAAGACCAACTCGGAATATCAACGTAACAATATGTATTCACAAGCTTGGGTGAAACATACCAAATAATCACTATGACAATAACTTGTACAACATTTGATTCAATATACCAATTAGTGATAACAATGTATACATGACTGCTCACTATGTAACATGCTAGGAAAATTAATGTCATATAACATGTAGGTGCAATCACATGACATGGATATACATGTCACGTAAATAGTGGGTGCCTGGTATGAAACATTTTTTTTTTTTTTTTTTTTTTTTTTTTTTTTTTAATTATTTATTAAACATACAATATTTAGCATACAGTTCATTTTACATACAATTTTCTTACATATAGTTCATTTTCATATAACATTTCTAGGTTTGCATAGTTACCGTATTTATATTTGCTAATACAATTTTTGGCTATCAAAACCAAATTGTTCATAACATCATTTGCCGTTCCAAACAGTATATCCCTTGTTGACAAACGTAATATTTTGTTCTGATTTACATTGAACTTGTCTTGTACAACTTTCCATAATCCTTTAACCATTTTACAATTGACAAAGAAGTGTTCATATGTGTCTTTTATAGTTATACAATATTTACAGTTTTCATTTTCCGAAATTTTCATTTTGTATAATAACATGTTTGTAGGGTAAATTTTGTGTAAGACTTTATATTGCAATGTTTTGAGTCTCGGCTCTCTGATGTTTGAAAATTTATACCATATAGTTTTCCAACTCAAATTTTGATAAATCTGGTTCCATTTTTCTTCTACTTTGGGAATCACTAATTCTTTTGCCAAAATCATATTTCTAAAATGTTTTGCTGTGGTATCTTTGACAAACATTTTATTATATTTGAATGATATTTCTTTGTCTTGAATATCAACATTGGTATTCAAAAGTGCATTCTTGACTACATTGTACTGTAGTAAGATTGCAGCAGTTTGTCCAACAATCTGTACAATTTCATCATACCTTTTCATATTACCATCCTGATTAAATAAATCTCCTACCCTTACAATACCTTGGTCAATCCATTTTTTGAAATACACATTTGATCTTTTGAATTGTATGTTCATATTATTCCATAAAACATCTTGCTTTGAAACTCTATTTTTTACCTTGATGTCTCTATTGTTGAGCCATTCTTTGATTAAATATCTATAGAACTCTGGAAGTTTTTCTATTTCTACTTTACTTTTGAGATTCTGATAATTTGTTTGGTATTCAAATATAAGTGACCCATGTCCAGATACTTTCAAAAAATGCTTAAACAAATTGTGCCAAGTTGCTCGTTGTGTAAGAGAAAATCTCTTTACCCAGGTCATGATCATTGTGCTTTAGATTACATTCATATCAATCATATTTATACCCCCATTTACACATTTTTGCCGAAGAATTTTTCTTTTTATACGTTCACCTCCTGTCCCCTTACTATTTTTCCATAAAAATTGGTATAACATGTGATTAATGCTATCTAATATTTTTTGAGGTGCTTTAAATACCATCAGCATATTTGTTATTTGGGATGCTATTAAAGATTTGATTAAAGTGAATTTTCCAATGAGGCTTATATTTCTTTTTGACCACAACTTTATTAATTCTTTCATTCTATTTATTTTATGGTTCCAGTTCATTTCAATTTTGCTAGCTTCGCATGAATTAGAGAATGTGATTCCTAAAATTTTTAATTTGGCATTTTCTCCATGTTTCCAAGTTATATTACCTGGTGAATCCCTAGAGTTTTTATTTTGCCCAAGCCACATTGCTTGTGATTTTTCTTTATTTAGCTTTAAACCTGTGGTCAAATAGAACTTGTCAGACTCTTTCATGAGTTCTTTAAGTGATGAGCTGTCTTTAAGAAATACTGTAGCATCATCTGCATATGTGGTAATTTTGACAACAGTTTCATTTTCTATATTTATCCCTTTAATATTATCATTTTGCCTAATTTTGCTTGAAAATATCTCTGTAGCTAATATAAAAATCAGTGCACTTAAAGGACAGCCTTGGCGAAGACCTTGTTTTAGTTCAAACCACTGAGTAAAATACCCATTATTCGTTACTGCTGATGTTGTATTTTTATTAAAAACCTGAATCCATTTAATAAAGCTTTCCCCAAAATTATACTTTTTCAACATGTCAAAAATGAACGTTTTAGATATTGAGTCAAATGCCCGGGAATAATCTAATGCAACAATCATTGCTGGTAAGTTATCTGTTTCAATATAATTCAATACGTCATCAATAAGTCTAAGATTAAGATGAATTCCTCGCTCTTTCATGTACGCATTTTGATCAGATTCAACCAATTTTTTAATTACTGTTTGTAACCTTTGAGCTAGTACCGATGCTCCTATTTTATAGTCAACACATGTCAATGAAATTGGGCGAAAACTTTTTAATTTATTCCTTGGTAGTTCTTTCCCCTTTAAAAGCAATGTAATGATACCCTTTCTCTGGCTGCATGACAGTTGTCCTTTTTGATATGCAAAGTTTAAAGAGTTTATTAGAAGCATTTTGACTCTCGACCAGAATACCTTATAAAAGGCTGGTGTAAGTCCATCTATACCAGGACTTGTATCATTTTTCATATTTTTTAAACATTTTGCACATTCTTCCAAAGATATGTCACCTTCACATAGTTTCATATCATCATTATTGAGTTTTGGAATATTGATATCTTCAATAAAATCATTTAATGTATATATTATGTCATCATTCACTTGATATAAATTCTTGTAATATTCAAATAAGGTATCAAGTACTTCGCTTGTGCAAGATGTCAGTGTTCCATCCGCTTTTTCCAAATGCTCAATTGTTTTCATTTTTGCATTAAACTTTTCAATTCCCAGAAAAAAGCTTGTATTCTTTTCACCCTTTTCTACCCAATCAATTTTTGAACGAATCTGAGCACCTTTTGCTTTATTATCTGTTGCTAATTCAAATTTCAAATTTAATTTATTTTCAATTTTTTTACATTCTGGGTCATTGGGGGCCTTTGCCAACCTCATTTGTGCTAAATTCAACTCATGTTCCAAGAGTTTCAGGTCATTTTTTTGACTTGTTGCACGTTTTTGACAAAATAAAATAGTTTTTTGTTTGATTTCACTTTTGCATGCATCCCACAATGTTTGAGGATTCAGCTGATCAAAATCTTGAGTGATGTTTTCAATTAAATTATTTATAAGTGATACATATTGCTTGTCCTTCAAAAGGCTATTATTGAATTTCCAAGATCCCTTTCCCCTATCTTTTGATCCAAAAATTACATTTGCACATACTGTTTTATGGTCTGATTTTGCACACGGATATAGATTTGCACTCACAGTCTTATTCGCTAATCCATTAGAAACAAATAAATAATCTAACCTTCTAGCTATAAATGGATTTTTTTGACACCAAGAGTATTCTTTAACATCCTCATTATGATTACGCCAAATGTCATTAAGATTATTAACATTTACAAACCTATTAAGATGTTCAACTACCTTTGTGCTATGTTTTTTACCAGATATAATATCAATATCATTATTCATGACGCAATTCATATCACCACCAACTATAATTTCAATATTCTCATCATTTATCTTATCTACCAATCCATTAAGGCTATGCAAAAATTCTATCTTTTCATTGTCTCTATTTGGAGCATAACAATTTACCAATGCAGTAGTAGTAGTACCCTCAGTTTTTATTTTCATAACTTGAATTCTACCTTGTTCATATTGTTTTGGCTCTTCAAGTATATCAACATCCAATTTCTTATTAATCAGAATCACTTGACCTTTACTGTGTGCTGAACCAGCAAACCCATAAATTTCACCATTCCATTGCATTCTCCAGATATTATGAATGTTCTCACTATAATGTGTTTCTTGAAGAAAGACTATTGAAAAATTATTTTGCTTAAACCAATCAAATATGGCTTTTCTTTTCCTTACATTTGTTTTAATACCCCGTACATTTAAAGATCCAACTTTCATATGGTGAATGCATTAGAGTGAAAAGATGGTCATTTTACTTCTTTTTAGGGTTTTTCTTAGATGGTTTTTCAATGCTAGATGGTGTTAGGTCTTTCCTCTTCTTATTATTCCCTCTTTGCTTTGGTGTTTTATTGTCCGATGATTCATTGTCTTTTTGCTCGTTCAATTCTTCAGTTTTGGTGTTTTGATTGTCGTTTTTGTTTTTTGTGGTTTTTTGGTCTTTTGTGTCTTCTCGTTCTTCCTCCTCACTTGTGTTATCATCTTTATCTTGAATGGTTTCGTTTTCACTTTCACTTTCATCTTCCTCTATCGCATCTGGTTTCTTTGCTTCTGGTTCTGCTTTCCTTTGAGTTTCATTTTGTATCTCGTTCAGTGGGCAATCTCGCATGAAATGCCCGGATCTATGACATTTCCGGCAAGTCTCATTCTGGAGCCTGCCTGCTCTACGGTTAGCCTCACAATCACGTCCTGTGTGCCCTATGACTTTGCAACGGGTACAGTTGATTGGCTGGGAATTTATGTATATGGTTGTGTCAATGTCAATGAGACTTTCTCTATCAAATGGGTCGGAGGTAGTGAACACATTATATCGGGGAAATATGACTCCTTCTTTAACATGGCCATAAAGGAATCTGTTCCCAGAGTTTATACGAATATTTCCTTCTATCTTGTACGCATACTGGATGGGTGTTACAATGTCAACTTTCTCGCTAATCCAATCAGACACTTCAGCATTTGAAATGTGTAAAGGAATCCCATGAATGGAAACACGTTCAGGAGGTTGATATACTGCTCTGGTATAGCTGACTAACTGCATTAATTGACCTTGTATTGTAATTTGGCCAATAGCTAGAAGTTCACCCTTTACCTCTAAATTCCTGCAATACACTATCGCTATATTTCTTCCTTTTATCCTAACCATCTGAACACCTTTTATGTCTTCATTTTCAATACTTTTCTCATCAAGTTCATGATATAGTAACTTTGCGATTTCTACTTCTTTGATATAAATTCTATCCAGATCGATCTTTATCCACAAGTCTGTATCACTATATGCATCCATGATTTCAGTAACTTTAATTCAAATCAACTATTATCTTGAGATGGTCCCTCAGTTGAAAAGATCAAGGTGTGTATACTACACTACCTTTGTGCTCTGAATAACCTTAGTGTTTTACATGTATGGCTTTGAGCCAAAAGATTTATGTGGTGTTATGATGTCCACTAATATCACATAAATTCAATATGAAAAGTTTATACTTATTATTGCAGACTGTTCCTCCAATAAATATCCAAAAAAGTTGAATCCTATTGTTCCCTGATAGTTTATAATCCTTCCTATTCTAAAAGTTTTTGAATTTTTGTCCAAATAAATGCGTTATTTCACTTTTTCTGGAGCTCAAAATTGCATGTGTATTTCCTAATTAAGGGGTCGTATCATGCCTGGTATGAAACATGCCGACGCGTGCTACATGACATCTGGGTGCAATTACACATCATGTGGGTACATGCTATGTAACAAGTGGGTGCATGTTATGTAGTAAGTGATCAATCATGAACATGAGTGAAACTGTATACCCAAGTTGGAAGTAGTACATTACCAACTTATGAAATAGAGTTTACACAAATATTGTATTCACTAAATATATTTTTCATATTGACCCCCTACCCCATGTTGGAGAAGTGTTGGGGTTCTTGTGTTTTTTTCTTGACAACAATTTGACACATCAATGTCATACTTTCCTGATCTATCAAATGCTACTTTAGCAATGTTGTGGAATTCTTTCATTTGCATCAATACCAGGTCGTTCAATAAGTTCACGGAAAAATGCTCTCATTTCAAAGATTCTTGATATTTTCCTATAAAATGTTCACACAATGTGCAAAAACTACTTTCGGATTGATTCTTAAAATATCAGCATCTATAATTTAATTGGTCAAAGTACCCAAAAGTATTAGCATCCTTTTCACTTGACTGTAGCTCCTCTTCAATCTCGGACAACCTTACAACAGACAGGCTAATAAGGCAACAAGAGACCAACATAAAAGTACAGTTATGCCATAAATTACAATTTTTAAATACTCGTAAGTAACATAGTACTGTCTGATGATAACAAATACATAAATACACTTACTTTTGCATCTTATTTCAACTGGAATACAACTTGCTTTGCCTATAAAAAGGGTTATTCAAAAGTTCTAAACGTCACGTCACGTCATGTGGTACTCTTATACCAGTCCTTGAAAATTGCGGACGTGTATTTTTATAATCTCAAATAAAATAGAATTAGTGTCAGAATGGAAAGGTATGCTCTCTTTTATGATCAATATTTTATCGCTCTGAGTTGAAATTGATTTGAGAGATTAGAAAAAATATTAGTTATGGCTGACAGGCTGTGTAATTAAGTAAAGCCGAAAGTTAATGTATGCAAGGAAGTAGACAGAGAGAGTATTTAAAAAAAAGAAATCAATTCTGAGAATTTCGAGGATAGCAAGTACAGAGGTGCGATGCTTTCAAAATCTTCTATACAAGTCTTAATTGTTTTTATATTATTTCAAATGATTATTATGGGGATGCACGTGTACTCAACGTTGCACGTTCCCCTGTTTGAACTTGCACGTAATAACAGAAGCTCTGAACATATAAAGATTGAATGTAACGATTCAAATACAAAGTTTCTGACGATTTTTACAACATTTTCAGAAAGGGAATTCACACGTTTCCGAATTCAGAATAACACACTTTGTAACTACGAGAAGTTTCCGAAACATTTGACCGAGCGAGCTATCTTTGCAAGTGATGGCTTCCATTTACGAAGACATGGTAAATGTTGGCTGGAAACAGTTCCAAATAAGAATGACTCTGATTGGAACATTATCAAACTGGAACCCCATATGACTGCAGCCGGTAGACCTGTCCTGAGACAAATGTTCATTGAGTCCCAAAAAAGATTCAACACAGACCTCTACATGTATTCCAACGGTGATATATTATTTCATGCTGATAAACTGATCACATCCCTTGAGGAAATCAAAAGATTCACGAGATTTAACAACATCAGGAGATTTATAGTGTTTGGGGCAAGGTATGCGGCAAAGTTTTTTTCAACACATGATAGAACTATTGAAATAATTTCTGGATCCGATGAAGAAATCATTCAACGTGGCCAAGGTACCAAAATCGATCAATTAGATGCTCAGGATTACTTCATCACAAGTAAAACCAGTTTCCCATGGGATGCTGTGCCTGATTACGTCATCAGCCTTCCTGCCTTTGACAACTGGTTACTTATGTTCAGTAACAAAGCAGACATTGCAACATTTGACATCACTGCCACTAACCTTGCAGTTCACCAAGCAGGGGCTCCAAAATTCGAAGACAGTAATTACAGGAAGTCTATGTCAAGTAATAGGAAATTATGGAATGAATCAATTATATCATATGTTGGTAGCGCTTTAAATTGTTGCAAGTGGAAAACTGTGTATAATAAGGAAGGTAAAGTTATAATAGTAAAAAATCCAGCATTCAATAACAAATGTATTGCAAGATTGAAAATCCCCGTTGAAAACTTTTTGGACGAGAAGATTTTTGAGGGTTAACAATTAGTTTTCAAAACTTCCTCCCACAAATACATATATTCGGACTCAAATGATTTTTAAAGACAATTCCTTAAAGTTACACGTTTCTCATTTGCAAAACTATAAGCTTGACAATGTCATGCTTGTCCTAACAGGGTGGAAGATGGGTAGAATAAGCCAAGCTGAGAAAACTAAACTAATAGAGAAATGTATCAAAGACACACTAAAGAAAGCAAAAAAGCTTTCTAAATAATAACAATATAGGCCATCGTATTTTTGCCTTACATAGTTACAGTTATACTTACCTTAATAATTCCATATTGACCTAATTAAGGTCTTATTTCAAGACGTTTATACCCAATGGTACACAGGACTTATTTTCTGTTAAGTGAAAGATTTAAGCTTTTGAAATGAACATGAAAGAACATACTTACCTTTCTACATCTCCAAATATCTAATTACCTGTACACTTTAATGGGCAATTTTTGCAAACACATATAAACAATTGAGCAATGCATGCAAATATACAGCTCATGGACAATGTAATTTCAAAAACAAAAACATATTAGTTAGCTACTTACCTAACTTCAAATTTTGAGCATGCACACTAATTTAATGTGAACTCAAATTGTATGTGTGATTGTAATACCCCCCCCCCCCCCCATTCAATGTTTTTGTTTTGTTTTTATTTTCATACTTACAAGGCGGTTTCTCTTCAATCATTGCCTGCCTAAGAGAAATATCTCTAGTAGTGAACATTTACCACTATGTAAATATGTTTTTGTTTAAGTTTATTGCTCTTTCTTCTTTCCCTTCTTTGCACTTTATTCCTTCTATGAGTCATATTTATCTCTATGTAAAGCCTGACTATGGTTAATACAAATGAATACCATCAGAGGCAGTTGCCTTATTATGATGTTCCTAGCTCCTTTGAGTTACAGACATTAGCTCCATCCTCAGTCAAATCTTTTAACTTTGAAAATATGCTTTTTAATCCCTTGGACTTAAATAACATAGGTTTAAACGAAGACTTAAACGCGAATGACATGATTACAAATCAATATATGAATCAATGTAATTATAGAAATTCCCACCAAATGAAACAATTATTTAAAGATAACAATGATTTTTCAATTTTGCACATGAACATGCGAAGTTTACCCTGTAATGAAATGAATTTTGAGGAACTTGATTCTTTGATTGATGCAAAGAAGCATTTTTCTATAATAGCGATGACTGAAACATGGTTGCATCCTGAAATTGAACAATTATATCAACATGAACATTTTAACGCTGTTTTTAAATCAAGACCTGAAAAATTGGGAGGTGGAGTTTGCATGTATGTAAATGAACGCCTAAATTTTAAGGTTAGAAATGATATTATTTTCCCTCAGGAAGACCAAAAATGTTGTGACATTCTGACAATTGAAATTACTGAACAAGATAAAAATATTTTAATATCAACAATATACAAACCTCCCAACATATGTATACAAGATTTTAACTCCAATTTAGAGACATTTTTAGAAAACATAATGAAAGAAAAAAAGGTAACATACCACTTTTAAATCAAATCCATGGATAACAGAAGGTATTATTTCATCATCTAAAAGGAAACTTTTACTTTATAAACTATTTCTGAAGTACCCCAGTAACCAAAATGAAAGCAATTATAAAACATTTTCAAACACTTTAAAGAAAATTGTTAAAACATCAAAAAAAGAATACTATAAAAATGAATTCAGTCAATCAATGGGTAATATAAAAAAGACATGGAAACTTATTGATAGGGTCATGGGTAGGAACAAAAAAGCCACAAAATTACCAAAAATGATGTATAATGGACATTATTTAGATAACTCTGATGACACAGCCAACAAATTCAATGACTTTTTCACAGACATTGGTCCAAAATTATCTGAAAAAATTCCACAACCCGAAGGAGTTCATTTTGAACATTTTTTACCCCACACTGAGAGAAACATTCAATCAATCTTCCTTAACCCTGTTACTCATGAAGAGATCATAAATATAATATCAAATTTAAAAGACAGCTCAGCTGGCCTTAATGATATAAAACCTGAACTTGTCAAAGTTGCAAAAAAATATCTATACATACCAATGACCTATATATGTAATTTATCCTTAGAACATGGTGTATTTCCCTCAGAAATGAAAAATGCAAAAATAATCCCCATTTTCAAAAAAGGAGAGCCAGACAAATTTACAAATTACCGACCCATTTCTATTCTAGATGTATTCTCAAAAATACTAGAAAAAATAATGCATGCTCGCGTGATTAAATTTATTAACAAACATAAACTTTTATATAAAAACCAATTTGGATATTTAGAAAACAGATCCCCGGAATTAGCTATTTTAACATTTCTTGAACAAATACGATATGCACTAGAAAACAAAAATATATGTCTAGGCGTATTCCTAGACCTATCAAAAGCCTTTGATACTGTCAATCACAACATTTTATTTTCTAAATTAGAATATTATGGAATCAGGGGTATAGCTTTAGATTGGTTCAAATCATATATGACTAATAGAAAACAATTTACATTTTATAATAATAGTATGTCAAATGAAAGAACATTACTTTGTGGCGTGCCACAAGGTTCTGTATTAGGCCCTCTTTTATTTTTACTTTTTATAAATGACATTTATAGAGTGTCCAAGGATTTAAATTTTATGTTATTCGCAGACGATACTAATATTTTATATTCTGGAAAAAATGAATTAGATGTATTCAACAAAATGAATGAAGAACTGACAAAATTAGCAATCTGGTTCAATGTAAATAAATTGTCATTAAATATTGAAAAGACAAAATATATGACTTTTACACAAAGAGTAAAACTTAACCAAGGTCTTTCCATAAAAATTGCTAAAAAACAAATCGAATGTGTTGACAAAATTAGTTTCTTGGGAGTTATCATTGATGAGAAACTCAGTTGGAAAGACCACATCAAGTACTTACAGATGAAAATATCAAGAACATTAGGAATCTTATACAAAGTTAAAGACAAACTATCTCAAAATAGCTTAATTTCTATTTATAACTCACTAATATATTCAAACCTATCATATTGCAACTTGATTTGGGGCAATGCCACCAAAACATCCCTTGACCCATTATTTAAATTACAAAAACGCTTTCTGAGAATTTTGACAACCACACCTCTTAAAGAACACATTTCACACAATTTTAAAAAATTTTCGATTCTCAAACTATGTGATATTCATAAACTCTCAGTTGTATCTTTTGTACAAAAATGCATACATGAGGTTAACACAGTTATGATTTCCCACTTTAGTAATTATTTTATGAAAAATCAAGAGTGCCATAATTACCATACTAGAAGAAAGGAAAATATCCATCGAATAAAATCACGCAATACTTTAACAGAAAACTCAATAAAAGTCGAAGGAGCAAAATTTTGGAACGTGTTACCCGCTGAATTAAAACAAATACAAAACAATAAGAAATTTAAAACACAGTTAAAGTTATACCTAATTCAGAATTATCAATCTTAATACGTATAACCTATTATCCAATGATGTTATATAAAGTGTTTAAAAAAGCGATTGAGAAGGAACTTTTATTTTAACCACTCAAAATGTTGTTCAACACGTTGGTTAGTGGTGCAGGGTGACATCCTAGGGGGTACATGGGCCAACTAGGGGTTAAACTGCATCATTGACTAACATGGACGATTGTTATAGAGATTAGACACATTGAACCCATAATTGCAAACTCTCCCTTCAAATGACTCCCTTTTCTTTTTCTTTTGTACCTTTTCTATTTCCAATAAACATTTATTAAAACTATTGTGTAATTTAATACACTTATTTTAAGTGTCATTGCATTTTCATTATTTTTCCATCAAAACTGTATGTTATTGTAAAAATTGACTAAACTGAAATATATATATTATTATTATTATTAAAAAAAACAACAAGAAAATATACATGAATATTGAAATAAATTGGTTACAAGTTCACAGTTGAACTAAAATATACTAAGTAGTAACAAAGAAATTTCGATTTCATTAAATGAATTAAGAAACGTGTAAACACCACAAAGGAATTTATTTACCGATTCGGGTAATATTCAAAATATGTTTATAATCTCTATTCAAGAGGAAATTTTCAAGGTGTGGCCTCACAATTCTAAGAATTCAAGAATGGGGTTTTCAGTTGAGACAAGTATATGGTCAGTTAACCCCCCTATCACACCAAACTAGTTCTTACCCGTTCTTACCAGTCCTACGAAAACGTCGTAAAACGGGCTCAATCTGGCTGTGATCGGGAAATATGTCTGAAATAATTAGCTTCTTCGTTCTTAAACAGTCTTCGATACGTCCATCTCGTTCGCAGTTCGTTCAGGTCGGACCACGTCGGTGTGCAACGTAGTATAACGCGTCCCTTAGTCTAGAAGGTCAACATGACCTGATTACAGAACGGTATGGTCGCCATCGAATTTTGAATCGATTCAAAATTCTAAAATCACATTCCCGTCTGAGAACGTTCATAAAGTTCGTAAATAGACCTTCGAAAGTTGCAGCTACGTTCATTCCGTTCGCACACAGTTTAAACCCAGTTTTGAAGAACGCAGTGGCAACTTGTTTGGTGTGATAGCTATATTTTTGCTAACTCGTTCATAAACAGTGTTAAATACGTTCTTAATCAGTTTAAACACGTTTGCAATTAGTTCTACCTCGTTCTCAACACGTCCTCGGACAGTTCAACTCGTTGTTAAAACGTCCCTAGTAGGATTGAAGTACGACGGTTCCGTTCGTAGTACGCCCAGCTCGTCGTTAGTACGTTGTCATTCGTTCTAATTGTAGAACGTGACGACCACGAGAACATTTTGAGCATTGTCTAAGTTCTAGAGGACCTACCCGTTCGAGTACGTTCGATGAAGTTTGTAAATAGATACCAAACGGTTCTCAGTAGGTCCAGTCCGTTCGTACACAGTTGAAGCCCGTTTTCGAGAACGTAGTGAGATCTAGTTTGGTGTGATAGTAGGGTAAGGTATGTTTCTGGTAAATTGGGTCAATTTTTTACCATCTGAGTCAAATGTCATTATCTGGGTCAAACCTTTTATTTTCAAAA